AAAAAAAAAAAAAAAAAAAAAAAAAAACAAAACAAAAAAAAAAAAACAGCTGTTTGCCCTGGCTCCTCATTGAAGGGTCACTAAGTGATAGGATAGGCAACAATCTATATTATAATGATTTCCAGTTTTATTTGTGCTTTCAGTGGAGCTTTTATATGCAACGTATTAATTAAATTGACAGTGTTCTGAGTAGAAGAGCTTGTAGAAGTAATGTTTAGCATAGGAGAATTTACCAAGCTGTCTTTTTCCCTTTTCTCACAGGGAGTCTAATCTCCAACACTTATCAGTACTGGAATTGACAGACTCTGGTGCTTTAATGGCAAATAGGTTTGGTAAGGAGTGGACTGTGTACGCATTTGCTTTTAAACTGGGGATTTATTGCATATTCATTAAAGTGGTCTTTTGCCACCTTTGCCATGGAAAGGTTGGCTAAGCTCTTTGCCTTCAGAAGGCATGAGTAAGCTGTGACGTGAGATCTCTGATTGTCACATGGGGTCTGTGAAGCTGTAGTACCAGATCAGGCATATGTTAAGGTTATGGTACATACATATATATATGTACCACATATATATATATATATATATATATATATATATATAGAGAGAGAGAGAGAGAGAGAGAGAGAGAGAGAGAGAGAGCGCTGCATTCCCATTCTGTTTTGATGCTCCAGTGATTAATTCAACAAAATCATTTAAAAATGTATTAAGTTCATGGTAACTTTTGTAATCTTGATCAACAGTATCCCTCATGTTTGAAAACCATTATTCTGGAGAATTTATTTTGTATTGTTCTAGTATAAAAGTTGAAATCCTGGGGCTAATTTCTAGGGAAGCCACTTAAGTGTTGTGAGATCAGTGAAAAAGTGACTAACTTTGATGTGAGTGGTGTTTTTATTGCATTTTTGTAGCACTTCACAATTTACAAACCACTTTTATTTATATTGCCACTGGATATATACCCATGATACATTTTGTTTTGAAGTGATAAATGTTGTTTGTTATAGGCATAAAATGAATTGATAGACTATTTTAATCGAAAATTGGTATTACCACCACACAAAACTGTCATAACTTTTTCTTTTTAAGTATCTAGTCCTCAGACTATTGTGGAGTTATTCTTCCAAGAAGTTGCAAGAAAACACATTATATCTCACCTCTTCTCTCAGCCAAAGGCACCTCTGAGCCAAACTGGATTGAATTGGCCTGAAATGATTACTGCAATTACGAGTTATTTATTGCAGCTTTTGTATCCTTTTATTTAAAAGCCAGTCAAAAGCTCTCTTCTGGCCAGCCATGTTGGCTCACACCTGTAATTCCAGCACTTTTGGAAGTGGAGGTGGGCTTATCGCTTAAGGCCAGGAGTTTGAGACCAGCCTGGCCAACATGGTAAAACCCTGTCTCTACTAAAAATACAAAAATTAGCCAGGCATGGTGGCCTGTGCCTGTGATCCCAGCTACTCAGGAGGCTGAGAATCACTTAAACTCGGGAGGCAGAGGTTGCAGTGAGCCAAGATTGCTCCACCATGCTCCAGTCTGGGCAATAGAGCAAGACTCCACCTCAAAAAAAAAAAAAAAGCAGCTCTCTTCTATCTAAATAGTCCAAAGCTCTTATTCTGCTTATATAATGAATTTTAATGAGGTTGCACACTCACCTCTCTAACAAGAGACAATAATATTTATTTTCATATATGATTCCAATTTTTATTTCATGTTGCTTTGTTTTTTGCTCAGGAGTTTAGCAAGATTTTATCAGTGTATACCTTAATAAAAAGTATAATACCTGGATCTGCTTTAAGACATTATTCATTTTGCTGAGTGCAGTGGCTCATGCCTGTAATCCCAGCACTTTGAGAGGCCAAGGCAGGCAGATCACTTGAGGCCAGGAGTTCAAGACCAGCCTTACCAACATGGTGAAACCTTGTCTCTACAAAAAATACAAAAATTAGTAGGGTGTGGTGGTATGACCTTGTAGTCCCAGCTACTCAGGAGGCTGAGGCAGGAGAATCACTTGAACCTTGTGAGGCAGAGGTTGCAGTGAGCTGAGATCATCCCACTGCACTTCAGCCTGGGCAACATATATTTTTAATAAATATATTTTTTCTCTTTTTTAAAAAGAAATATTTTTTAATGGCTCTATATGCCAGGCACTGTGTTATATGCTAGATGTCCACTGGCACCAATACTGTGTTCTGCAGTACAGCAACTGGAATTGAAAATGAACACCCAGGAGTGAAATACAGGCTTTTTAAAATTTACGTATTTTTAGAGACAGGAATCTTACTATGTTACCCAGGCTGCTCTTGATTTCTTGGGCTCAAGCAGTCCTCCCACCTTACCCTCCCAAAGTACAGGGATTGCAGGAGTGAGCCACCATCACCATGCCTGGTGAAATACATGGTTTATTCCGTAGTTACCTGAGTTCCAAGCTGTATGACAAGTTTTCTGGTATATATGTAACTGTTTCATTGTATTCCAGTGACGACTAGTGACGATGAAAGAACATGTGCTTGGCCACCTTCTCCACGTTTTTGTAAATTAAGCTATTTTGTGAACTTTTCTGAATTTGATGCCCAATGTATATATTTAAGATTTGCCAACAAAAATTAAGGAATCTCCTTAACCAATGACTAGATGGCCTAGTAATCCTGGTTGTCTCTTTCTAGAATGTTTGATGGGAAATTGTCAATATGTACAATTACAGGTGAGTTCCTTTGAACGTTCACATCTACTCATTCTTGTGAAGCATGGGATTGCTGGAAATTTTTTTCTTTGTAAATGTTAACTGCAGTTTAAAGAACCACAATAATTTAAACTTGATTGTGCAAAGACATACCCCAAAGAAGTTGTTCTCTATTTCTATACCCTCCTGAACTTGCTTGATCTTGTCTGATCTTAGAAGCTAAATAGAATTGGGCCTGGTTGGTACTTGGCTGAGAGAATACCTGGTTCCATAGGCTTTTAAAGAAAGTAATAAAATACTTTTTTTTTTTTTTTTTTTTTTTTTTTTTTTTTTTTTTTTT